TGTCCTTTCGTTTATCTTTTATTTTAGATATGAGTAATCACCCATATCTTCTTCAGCATTTCGTAAGATATAGAATAAATCTTTATGTGTTCAAAATCTTTCAATTTTTACTAAATCTAAATAGTAAAGATAAAATGTTACACATAGGAAGCGATCCATAAAATGGAACTTTAAATGGTTCTTTCATACTTATCACAGAAAAATAGGATGAAATATAATATATATTTAAGTACTTAATATAAAAAAAGCCGTATAAACTAATGTATAGATATAATACGAAACCACAAACTATACATAAATATATTATACATTACTACACCATATATCATGCCTGAAAGAGATAATATCTAAGGTCAATTGAAGTAACTTCTTCCTTAACGCAAATACTGTTCGCGGTTTTGTTTACGAGTTATTAACGAAAAACACTGATCAAAGTGAGACGAGATCAGTTGACGCGAGTGGCCGAGGCAACGAGCGGAACTATGTATGTACATACATAGAAATCTTACGATAGCTCGCGCGCGCGTGTATTCGAGCTACATATTCAGACATGACCGAACTCGAGTCACTGATAGCGTTATTGATTTGTAATAGTCATTCTAGATGAGTCCCGTCATTGTACATATAATGACTTACATTCTCACAGTATGTTGAAAAGGATATATAAAAATTACATGTCCCAACCATCACACCCAAAAATCGTGGTACAAACACGTGGTTGGGGATTTTACACGCAAAAATTGTTTTCAAGAAAACTGAGTTTCTAGATGCGTCAACTTCGCGTGGCTTCTAATTGGTATGTTATGACCAGACACGTTAGTTGATTCCTATTTGATAGTATTGTTTTTTCTACCTAATTTCTTTCTCGAAAACGTAGCCTTAAATGAAAAAACGTTATTCTTTCTTCTCAACTTATTTTTGTACGTAGAATCACTTCCCGGCCTGTTGCACCATGATTTTGGAGACATCCTATACAATTTTTGTCATTTTTGACATCATTTTTTATGATTTCAAAGCGTTAAATTGAGACCCATGATTCCTTTCTGACCTTTGTTTCTCTCAAAAAAATGTAATCTATGACCCTGATTTTCAATATCAAGAACAATTGTGCAGCCCATTTTTTTTTAGCAAATCTCCACCGATCCAGAGATGTAGAATCACGCTATGGTGATCGTAACATATCATTATCGCCCGCAGTCTCGCGTTCTGATTGATCAAGATTCCATTAAAAATTTAACAAAGCCGCGGACTTTAAGGATTTATAGTACTTACCGAGAGGAATAAAAAATGTCCAATCAACGTGGGCCTAAAAGTCAATTCTTTCGACAAAAAATCGGCTTTCACTACCTAAAAATTTTCGATAATATTTAATACAAACATTTTTTGCTACAGCGTGCCNTGTCCTTTCGTTTATCTTTTATTTTAGATATGAGTAATCACCCATATCTTCTTCAGCATTTCGTAAGATATAGAATAAATCTTTATGTGTTCAAAATCTTTCAATTTTTACTAAATCTAAATAGTAAAGATAAAATGTTACACATAGGAAGCGATCCATAAAATGGAACTTTAAATGGTTCTTTCATACTTATCACAGAAAAATAGGATGAAATATAATATATATTTAAGTACTTAATATAAAAAAAGCCGTATAAACTAATGTATAGATATAATACGAAACCACAAACTATACATAAATATATTATACATTACTACACCATATATCATGCCTGAAAGAGATAATATCTAAGGTCAATTGAAGTAACTTCTTCCTTAACGCAAATACTGTTCGCGGTTTTGTTTACGAGTTATTAACGAAAAACACTGATCAAAGTGAGACGAGATCAGTTGACGCGAGTGGCCGAGGCAACGAGCGGAACTATGTATGTACATACATAGAAATCTTACGATAGCTCGCGCGCGCGTGTATTCGAGCTACATATTCAGACATGACCGAACTCGAGTCACTGATAGCGTTATTGATTTGTAATAGTCATTCTAGATGAGTCCCGTCATTGTACATATAATGACTTACATTCTCACAGTATGTTGAAAAGGATATATAAAAATTACATGTCCCAACCATCACACCCAAAAATCGTGGTACAAACACGTGGTTGGGGATTTTACACGCAAAAATTGTTTTCAAGAAAACTGAGTTTCTAGATGCGTCAACTTCGCGTGGCTTCTAATTGGTATGTTATGACCAGACACGTTAGTTGATTCCTATTTGATAGTATTGTTTTTTCTACCTAATTTCTTTCTCGAAAACGTAGCCTTAAATGAAAAAACGTTATTCTTTCTTCTCAACTTATTTTTGTACGTAGAATCACTTCCCGGCCTGTTGCACCATGATTTTGGAGACATCCTATACAATTTTTGTCATTTTTGACATCATTTTTTATGATTTCAAAGCGTTAAATTGAGACCCATGATTCCTTTCTGACCTTTGTTTCTCTCAAAAAAATGTAATCTATGACCCTGATTTTCAATATCAAGAACAATTGTGCAGCCCATTTTTTTTTAGCAAATCTCCACCGATCCAGAGATGTAGAATCACGCTATGGTGATCGTAACATATCATTATCGCCCGCAGTCTCGCGTTCTGATTGATCAAGATTCCATTAAAAATTTAACAAAGCCGCGGACTTTAAGGATTTATAGTACTTACCGAGAGGAATAAAAAATGTCCAATCAACGTGGGCCTAAAAGTCAATTCTTTCGACAAAAAATCGGCTTTCACTACCTAAAAATTTTCGATAATATTTAATACAAACATTTTTTGCTACAGCGTGCCATGTGTCTTCCCTCTGTTGCAATGCAAAGTACCCATCTATGGATTATTGATCGACATACATCTATTAGGCCCTTTTCGCCCTACCCACCAATCTATTATACAATCGTATCTTCTCTTCCCAAATTGTCCATTTTTGTGCACAATCTCAGCGTCAATTAGGGAGAATTTACTATACTATTAAACTTACTATGACAAGGAAGATTTATATTAAATTTGCATTTATGAAAGAATTCTTGTTAATGCAAGTGTCATAATCTTGTATTGATAACGTAGAACGTACTTCTGAATCAATTTCTTTATTTTCATCCAATGTGTCGTAGAGAAATGTCAATTTTCTGTCAAAAGGATTGACTTTTGAACCCGTGTTGATTAGACACTTTTTACTCCCCTTGGTGAATAATATAAATCATTATAGTCTTGAACCATAGTGCACATTTAAGCGTCCACTTTTTTGCTCATTGACGGTTAATAGTACAAGGATGATGTCGCGTTGTCATGATTTTGATTTCTGTCGTTAGCTCGGCTTTCTAGTCATTGATTAAGGATGGATTTTGGTGGAGGAATTTATCGAGAAAGTTCTTTTTCGTATTGTATTCGGTCGGTTGTATCAATGGCGTGATTTATACATGCATATACATATTATGTATAATACCGTGACCAATCGCGGTCTTCCGTGCGATTTTCCGCACGATACAGTAATTTCTCCCGGACTGTACTTCAGCATAAGTATGATTTAAAGCATGTCGTGTTTGGTATCATTTTAATTGGAAAAATCTGACCAATATATTAGAAAAATTTTCATGTATAAAAAATTAGAAATAAAAAAGTTAACTCATCGTTTTCATTCTAGCATTACCTGTATTCATAGTAATCTGCACTGACATGCTGGTCGCTGCCTTCCCAGGTAGTTCGTACGACCGAGTTTCGTTCTCCTTCTCTCTCTCTCTCACACACACACACACACACGCGCGCGCGCGCGAGGTGTCTGCAATTATAAAGACGAGCCGTGAGGCTCGAAGAATCATGCCTTACGATTCTCACGTCCACATGTTTCGATTCCGATTAAAAGCATATATGCGAGAAATTACCGTATTCCGCACATCTGGTTATTAGATGTTCGATATCTTTAAAGCCTCAAGGAATCCATTATTTAAGGAAGATTGGATTCTTTAAGAGGAACAGTAAACGGTTGTATAACAAAGTAATAACCCCTGGTCGTCATAAGTTTGAGATTATTCACAAACGAGGATATATTAGAACGGTGCCTTTTTACAAACAGCGTCGCTCATAGCCGCGCTCGGCCGCTGATATTCTATAAAACATATCCTATAAAACGTTATATGTATGAAATATAAGTATAAAATATATAACTAAAAAGTAAAAAATAGTTTGTATAATTACATTTAAATAATTTTTTTTAATCGAAAATAACAATGAAAAAGTATTGAAATTTATTGTTTAACAAATGCAAAAAATATTTAATTATCAATAGTTAAAAATTACTATTTTTTAATTATTTTTAGTGAAAATTTCATTGCAATACCTTTAATGGTTCAAAATTTATAACTAGTCACTGAATTCTGCAAACCGGACCACTGTGTGCCGCGGCGAATTACTCTCAGAATTCGAACCGGTTTCAAATTCTGAGAGTAGCTGTTTAGCTAGCCGCCATACCACACTGTGTTCGATACGAGGTGAAAAATTTTAATTTTGATCAATGATGCCCTAAAATATTAGTAGCAGAATATAGTTCCTAATATTATCCACAATTTTTATTTACTTGCATTTATAAAAGAATTTATTTCTTTTATAATGTGCCTGTTAATATAAGAAAAATCTATCACAAATAAATATAGTTCAATTTATATCGATTTAGGAAATTGGGACAATTTTTATTCATTTTTATTAATCATTCACACTGCGACACGATGTCAAAGACGCCCATCCTGAAATGATTGAAATATCAAAGTGTTAGTACTCTTATTTTCTTCATTTAACTAATTGCTGATGGAATTGGCCATGTATTCGAATTTTGCAAAATATCATTTTGATAATATTAATTTTCGTTGGCTTGTATGTCATTTAATATTTTTAGTATCATTCTCGATTTTTAATTCAAATTTAGTAGAATTCAGTAATTTCATTGGTGTCATTGCGTAAGGTAAAGTGTTAACTTTAATATACGAAAAGAATGAACTGCTACTAGGTGCTATTGGAGTAGTTAGTGATTTTTATAATTATTGACGTCATTGTTCGTTGTAGGAGTTTTGTATGAAAATTTATATTGTCGGAAATAAGATTTTTCAAAATTTATTTATATTGTATATTGAATATTTATTCTTGTACTGTTTCGCATTAATAAGAACATATGTATACTTAAATATGACGTCTGAGTTATTATTGGTGATAAATTAATTCTAAAACATCATTATTTAGTTACTATATTCAATAGAGTCACATTTTCACTTATAAATTTCTTTAGAATATGAATTTTATTATTTATTCTATGTAGTAAAACTACATACAGTCAGTCAAATTAATATTGGGACACCTTTTATAACGGAATAATTTGATTAGAGCTTGATTAAACGGTCTTGAATTTGTTCAGATGATCTAAAAAATCTAAAAAAGTCATCTAAAACAATTCAAGTCGTTTGGTCTAGTTATGAAAATGTTATTCCGTTTTAGAAGATTAACCCTTGCGTTTCAATAAAGGGGTTTTTATTTCCGACATGTTACCGTTATTAGGGTTTTAGGAGTACAAACGGTACCCTACCAGCAATGATTTACCGCATTTTTAAGGTCTCCACTTATGACCCCCTATCCTCCGAGTGTCAGTGGTCGTTTTCCACCGTAGCCTTGCAGCATTATTTCAAAACAGAATTTTGGTGAAAACAATGGATACCTCTCAAAACGAATTAATTTGTTTCTAATTACATTAAATTAACTAAATTTCTTAAGATGATAAGACTAGTTTACTAGACAATGTTTAAACAAGTTTCTGCAACATTGCAATCGAGTTGAGAATCAGAAAAACATATAAAAGATTAATAGAACTTTGAACTTTGTTAAACAGAATCTACAACTCAGATTTAAACAATGCATTTTCTACACTTTTTCTGCTACACGTACATCTTCAAATTGCGAACAGTAAACCACGATAACGCAATATAATGGCTACGCAACTTGTGGAGAACTACCCTCCAAATTCGAACCAACATCGTATTCTGAGAGTAGCTCTNCTCAGATCCGAACATTTTCTTATATTCGATTGTCGATGTATGCGATTCTTAGAAGATCTTTTTTACTACACGTACAATCTCAAATTGCGGACAGTAAACCTCGATAACGCGACATGATGGCTACGCAACTCGAGGAAAACTACTCTCCGAATACAAACCAACATCGTATTCTGAGAGTAGCTCTCCAATAGCGTATCCATTTGAAAGCAAGCGGCAACATGGCCGCTAACGAAAAATTCTGCGATACTCGCCGACAGTCACTCTCAAGACTGTGTGCCCTACTGTATTTATATTTCATGTATGAAAATATTAATAGTAATGTATTTGTTTCATGTATGTACAGGTTCAGGAGTTGGCAACTTTGGCTAATGCAATGATGGCTTCTAATATTAAAAATATCGAAAATAATGGAAGTATTGACAGAAAAGTTACGAAATTAAAAATCAGGGATAGCAAATGCAGTAATTATATGCATATGACATCTGATGAACTTGTTGAAAATGAACATATTTCGTTTTGCAATGAAAGCAACAAAGATATTTATTGTAATAAAAACAAATCTTTGGAAACTAATACAATCACTGAATTTTCTGAACAAGAAGTGGAGCATACACTGTATAAGGATTCACAAAATATTAATACCAGTACAAAACACATTGACACATTGTTTACTGTATCAAATTCTGCTTTACGAATGAAGAACCAAAATCGCTCTCCGATAATAAATTGTACAATATCACAAGTACCAACTGAGTACTCTAAAAATATAATAAATAATGAATTATTATGTTCACATACTACACTAAAACCTACATTGTATGAACAATGCAGTGATCTCTCAAACATTGAGGAATGCGAAGATACTTCTTCATCTGTGTCACAAACTTGCCTTCAAGGAATTGGAAACGATTTTACGCAATATGCCTTTGATAATAACAATGTTACTAGTAACATAGAAAAATGCATAAAAGTATATAGTCACAAGAGACATAAATCTATGGATGAAATAAAAAGGAATAATGTACTTACAAATGTGAATAATGTAATGCATAATCCATCCACTGATTGTATAGATTTATTAGATGAGCCGTCCACTAATGATATACCAGTTACTCTTCTAACTTCATTAGACATGGAAAGTGCTGAATACATTATAAGTTTAAGTACTGAAAATATTCAGTCTATAGTGGGAGCTAAATTTAATGAGCAGAATAAATTAAATATCTATCAAAACGACTGTCAACATATTGTTCAATACAGTAATCGAGAAGATAATATAAATAAAAAAGAATTAAATACAGGTCATCCTGAAAATTCAAATTATATGAAACCTATTTTACGAAGAAGTTTACGAATAAACCAACATGACCCAGATGGCACAACAAACAGTAATGAAATTTCCAAAGAACATAATAGAAGAGAAAAATATTTTAGAAAATCTAATTCTTTAAATAAGTTAGAAATGTCTACCAAAAGAAAACGTAAAGTAAAAAGTGTAGATTACAGAATTTCAGAGCAAGGTATTAACAACATTCTCCATTTAAATAAAAAAACATTTAAGAGCTCGCATAAAAACAGAACAAAATTAATTAAAAAGAGAAATGATAAGTCACAGCGTGTAACAGTTAGTAGAAGAAGAAAAGAGCAATCAATTAAGATAACAAATAGAATGAAATGTGATATATCACAAATGACAGAATTAAAATCTATTTTAACACCATCCAGGTTAAATACAATGGAACATGTTAATCGGGCATTATGGGGAGATATGTCAGATTATTCAGAAGATTATGAAAATAAAGTAGATTTAGATGAGTCTGCACTTAATACAAAAATTCCATTTGCTGTAGGTTTGTTGCCCCTACGTACTGCTCTTGAAAAGATGCAAGCAACACCGGATTATCAACCCCGTAAAACTCGTTCATCGGTTGTCTCAATAAAACAAGAAACTAATTTCTTTAAACAGAAGAGTTATACATATTCAAATAAAATTACTGCCTCGACGAGGCAACATTTTTCTACTAGTCATCCAAAGGAAGATGCTAAAACAGTTTGTCGTATCCAAATTAGAGCAGCTCCATCAGAATATATGCAAAAACGAAAAAAACATTTCACAACAAATATGGCTACATTAAAACCATCCGCTATTATAAATAAACAATGACAGACACCATTATACAATTTTCTGATCCAAGATTTTTATGTGAAATGTATATAAATGTTTTATTATTGAAATGTTAGAAAGCATACGTTATTTTGATTAAAATTTTATCTAATTTATTAAAATATGAACTGTTATTTTCACATAA